TTGGACCTTGAGATTTCAGTCCGGTGCTCCAATGTGGGTCTCCGTCTCTGTCTCCTTTCATCGCCTGATGAAGGTTAATATTCAGGAGGATGCCTATATGTTTTTCTTTGGGTTCTCCTTCTTATTTAGCTTCTCTAAGATCACTAATTATAGGCTCAATGTCCTTTGTTTATGGCTAGAAACCAAATATGAGTGAGTACATCCCATGTTCTTCTTTTTGGGTCTGGCTTACCTCACTCAGGATAGTGTTTTCTTTGTATCATGGCCAAAATCATCTTATATGCTTCCGCAAGGATGCCGAGACTGTTATCTTCCTGATTTTAAATGACTGGAAGTTTCCATTATGGATAACTTGCTTTTGAATTTGATCTCATCACAGATTGTTATTTCTATCTATCTGACATATAAACTAATTTTGACTCTTCAGAAATTCCACTGTATGATACTAATGCTTTCAACGTAATCATATAATGCGTCTGTGTCTCATAATTGTTAGAATCATGCACAGCAGAGTAGATGTTTGTAAATTCTCATTTGAGTTCCTTTATGGTATAAACGATGTCTGTTTCCTTCTTTACATCCGTCTTAGGGAAATGCATGGAATAAAACACGTATTGACTATCACTGATTTAAAAAAGGAGGAATTTTCAAAAGATTCTGTATTTATTATTCAACTTGGCAAGCATTGGTGCACTTCAGAATATGAACATATGGTCTAATGTTCCTCCTCCACTTGTAGAACATCAGTAATAATTTCTTTGTGTTACAAAAATTTATTTGATGAAGAGTTCTATGCCATGGGTGACAGTTAAAATTTATAATTTTTCGAACAATTTTAACTAAAATGAATCATAGATTTTCTTTTTATGTTTTTATTGAAATTACAATGTAATTAAATAAATACTCCCTTCCCTTTCTTCCCTCCAAACCCTTCCATATGCCAGTCCTTGCTCTCCTTCAAGTTTCTGGCTTAATTTTTGTTTTTGTTTTCTTTCCTTTTTATAAAAAATAGATTTATTAAAATAATATATATTATTATTGTAGTTTCCTATGCCCAAACTTCCCAGATGATCTCCAAATCCATATCCTCCCTTCCTTCTTTTTCTTTATCTTTCCTTATTTCCTTCCCTTTCTTTCTTTCTTTCTTTCTTTCTTTCTTTCTTTCTTTCTTTCTTTCTTTCTTTCCTTCTTTCTCTCTTCCTTTCCTCATCTTCTTAGGAAAGAAACAGAACTCTCAGCCCTAAGTTGGATGTCTCCATCAAATCCATCCCCTTAGGGCTAGGAAAACCAGGGAAGAAGATGTAGAAAGAGTATAAGTTCAAGAAGGGATGGAGGACACTAAGAAAATATGAGGGCCTCTAAATCAATATGCTCAAAGCTCATATGCACTCACAGAGACTGAAGCAGCAAGCCCCGGGACTGCATGAGTCTGCACCAGGTTCTCTGCATGTGTATTATGGCTTCCACCTTAGTATTTTTATATTTCGTACTGAGGACAATGGACTATCAGTAAATATTTGTTGAAGACACAAATACGTGAACAAATGAACGAATAAATGAATGTAGGAATTATTTTGGCTGGTGATTTGAAGAGTATAAGGTTACAGAAAGGACACTGTGCACAAGAAACCTAAAGATTTAATCTGGCCTCTTAACATCCATCATTTTACCAGGTTTAAAGGAAGGACCAGGTAAAGTCATATCATCGAATCTGCAATAGCAACTATGAAAGCCACGCCACCATTTTTACTATTTACAAGTACTTTCTATGGGTCTAGTAAGGGTTAGGGACTTAATAGGTTTTGTGTTGCTTGTTTTATTTAATACACTACAGGATGTATGGCATAGGTGTACTGGTATGTTATCTGAAAAGTATATTATGATGACATAACAAATTTTATAGTATTATACCACAATTTCAAGTATGTCTGACTCCAAAACCCAGATTAATGCCTTCTCTTAGGTGGAATATTTGTACTTTTACCCAATTTGCAATGGGAAAACAGTGAACTCTTTCTCAAGTGGAGGTTGGTGGGTACAGGAGACCAATGGTGCAGAGGTTACCATAGTAACTTTAATGGGTAAGAATACCTGTCTAGTGCTATGATGGATGCATTGTGGCTAAGCATTCAAGGTTATAGGGGAACCAACTGCAGAATCAATCACATTTTCTACCTGTAGTCTATAAATACAGAAATTTAATGAAAAAAATACTATTTAGAGGCCAAAAATAGAATAAAATCACTACAGCAACCTCTCTGCTCAGGACAAAAATGTTTGAGTAGTATTGAGACTTTGGAAAATAGCCCAGAATTTCTCTAATACAAGCAAAACCAGAAATAGAATCATCATGTGACTGAGTCCATCACTCCAGGGGAATTCCCAAAGTCCCCAAAGTCCTACTGCAGAGATGCTTGCACATCCATGTTTACTGCTGCCCCAGTCACAATTGTTGGACAAGAGAAGCAGCCTAGATTTAACTCAACTAATGGATGGAGAATCAAAATGTCATCCATAGTCATAGTAGGATTTTACTCAGTTATAAAAAACATGATGGATGGGACTGGAGAAACATTATATTCCGTTAGTTAACCCAGGTCCAGAGAGACAAAGGCCATATTCTCTGTCATATCTGACTGCTAGCTTCAATCTTTAGTTTCATGTTTTTAACTTGGAGTGCCTCTGGGAGCCATGAAAAATGGAAATAGAAAAGTTTAAGTAGGAAGAGGGTAGAGACAGCTGATGGAGACAAGAAAGCTTGGGAAAGAGTTAATCAAAAATCAAAGATATATGAAAATCAATATGGAAACCTATTACCTTATAATCTGATAAAATACAATTTAAACGATTATAAGAGACCATGCATATCTGGATACTGTTGCTTCTAGCCACGAGTTACTAAACACAAACGCCAATGCCGGATGTAGGCTCTGTTCTTATGAGTATTTACAATCAGGGAAGTCTCAGTTGCCCTGACATCCACATACTCTTCTGTTTTTCTTCCTGGTTGATAAGATCCTTGTATTCATTTGGGTTTCTATTGTTGTGAAAAGACACTGTGACCATGGAAACTCTTATAAAGGAAAACATTTAACTGGGGCTGTCTTACAGTTCAGAGGTTTAATCCAATATCATCATTGGGGGAAGCATGGTGGCAGGCAGGCAGACATGGTGCTGGAGAAGGAGTTGAAAGCTCTGCATCTGGATCAGCAGGCATCAGGGTGAGGAGAGACACTGGATCATGTTTGAGCATCTGAAACCTCAAAGTCCATCCCCAGTTCCACACGTCTTCCAGTAAGGCCATATGTGCTCCATTAAACTCATCTCTTAACAGTGCCGCTCCCTATAAGCCTATGGGGAATATTTTCATTCAGTCCAACACAATCTTACTGCTACAGACATGACACATTTTGGTTGCATCATATAGATATATAGGGAAGTGAAACTAAGTTGGAAACTTCCTACCTGTTGACTAGCTTTCAGAGTCCTGTAAAGTACGATGACGTTTGGTGGGAAGAAAAAGCAAGGGCCATCTTACTCAGCTCTGCAAGCGACATTACCAACCTGCTCATCAAGGTACACCCATCTGTGTGATAGTGGTGTGACTGTTACAGGGATAACCAACAACCTCGTATTAAATTTGAGGCTAGCGCCAAAGGAGACAATCCCTGCATGGTACTGTAAACCCAATAAAACACATGACTTGGTACCTCACAGGCATTAGCGGGAACTTGATACTGTTTAGTTAAATTGGCGTAGTGCTAACCTACCAGAAAAATAACTGTTTACACCTGTAGATGAATGCTACTCTCAGCCTTAATCTCTTTCCATTTAACAACAGCGGATTCCAAGACTCACAGCTTCTCCACATGCTACAGTAAGAGACGAATGAGTGCTCAGATCTAAACAAGAAATTTGTGCAGCCCCATATAAGGCTCAGATAATGTGGTAGAAGACCACCTTCTGGGTCTAACACAGCCCCTCCCTGTAATCATGTACGTACAACAACTGTCATTATCTGACTACAGGGGTTGTACAAAACTGGCCCTGTAAACAGTCAGTCATGGCAAGAGAAGAGTTCAAGGGCCCTACCTCTCCTGTCTCATTTATAGGCTACGGGGACTCTGCGAGAAGGGCAGTCCTTGTCTTTAGTTTCTGTGTTCACTGGTGACCCCACCAACCACCAGGGGGTTATATCAAACCCACAGATACTCCTGTTAAACTCATTTAGTCAAAAACCAAAAAGACTTGAATGTGGGTTGCAAAGGGGTTTTGTAGGGGGGGATTGGCTGGGGGGGGGAAGTGAGATAGTTAGAATGTGTTATACACAATATATGAAATTGTCAAAGAGCAACTTCAATTAAAACATTTGAATGCATGATTTCTCTGTATTTTTATGTATATGCATGTGATATCTCAATACATATGTCTAAAAGACACATCCTTATGGATAAATTATTTGTTACCAAGTGAATTCTGCACTTGCCAAGAGAACTAGATTCTTGTCCCAATTTCTTGGCAGTCTTTTGAAAGTAGTACAACATTATACAAGGGTGAAGGGCTTACTGAAGTTAAACAGCTAGAGTTAATTTGTGGGCTTGTCATTTGCTAGCTTTGTAATTTGGTGTAAATTACTTGGATTTTCTGTGCCTTAATTTTCCCACAGAGATTGGGTTGCTATGAGGGTGAACCGAGTGGTACAAGTAGGAATCTTTGATCCATACTTGCAATGCTGTAGCGGATCAGTAAATGTAGATCCATCCAGGCCAACCGAATGATCTCCCCAGCACATCAACCTGTTGAATATCATTGAAGTTTCCGTCCCAGGACCAGAATTCCCACTCTCTTACCCATCATAGACTCTCTTCCTCCCTCTGGAGGCGGAAAACAGCACTACCGAGCCCAGCATTCTGGTTGCTATGGGTACCGATGTAACGCGGTAACCAAGGGGACGAAGGCGGAAGCTTCAGGCGGCTGTGGCAGCAGCTGCAGCAACGAGGGTCGCAGGTGAGTCGTAGGATTAAGGAGGTACACAGCCAGTGGAGGATTTTGCCGTGAAGAGCCGGGAGATAAGCTGCATCTGGGTGGTACAGAGCGTGCAGCAGCAGGTGAGAAAGGAGACGCTCCGGGGTTGGGAGAAGAGCATCAGTCAGTCTAGAAGGTATATGCTGGACCCTTGCCATAGCAGACTCCTGGGCTTCCAGAAAAAGCTCTGGATCAGGAGTTCACGTTTCTAAATAAAAGTCTTTGATCAATGATGTCATTAAATACAAGAACCAAGCATGACGCCCAGACAGAGAAAGCACAGCCTCCCTCAGTTACAGCATCCCCAATTCCCTTCTTTTCAATTGCTGGTCTCTTTTGTCCTTTGAAGTCACTGGTGCCCTGTGAAACATGTAGCTACCGCGGAAACCATCTCACATAATCCCTTTGCATCTTTCTTTCTTTCTGCCTGTCTGTTCTCATTTAGCCACTTCTCTCTTGAAGTTCGCTTCTCTCAAGTAATGGCTGGTAGGGCAGGAGTACCTGGTTCCAGAAATACCCAAGGCAGTGGATGTTTAAGTCTCTTTATCTTTCTCATTCCTTTTTGATTGTTTTGTTTTGAAACCAAAATGAGCATGAAGAGAGACTTTGGCAAGTCGTGTCAAAAAAAAAAAAATACTTTGTGGAAGTAAATCTGGATAAGATTAAACTGAATTGTTTGCCCTTGGTAATCTCACCTCTTTCCCTGATCCTGTTGTTTGACCTGGCAGGCTACACAGAAGATGGCCCTGATTTCCATAACAATGCTAGGTGTCTTACAAAGGAATTCCCTAAAATTAGTTTCCCTCTTTCCTTCTTCCTGATGCTTAACATTTCCTGCAGTTATTTTGTTTGCTTTTTTTCGTGTTTTTAATTCCTTCATCAGAACAAACATTCAGAGAAGATTGGTGTAACACTCACCTTGTTCTTTTGTACTTCATGCTACACATAGAGATATTTGATAAACATTCATTGATTGCTCGTTTGTATTTTGTAGCAGATATGTAAAAACACAAACATTTGTTGTGGTTCAAAGACTTAATATTTTTCTTCCTAGATATGATTGTGCAGTAAGTTAGGAGTAGTGGAAAATAAAATTTTTACAACTTAGTATGAGATTTTTCCACACTGTCAGATATGCAGAAACTGTGACAACACATGGAGATTCACAGCATCTATTTAAGCAGTTATGCAAAAATAAAGTCAATGATAATAAATGAAAACATACACAGTCTCTAAGAAGATTTCCCTTTTTCTTTTGGTGGAGGAAGCAGTAAGAAAATCAGTCTTCTAACAGCTTAATGAATAGAATAATGGAAAAAGAGAACAGGAGACTAGGAGGAAGGTGATACTTAATAGAAAATATTAATCCTAAGTGCCAGCAGAGTACTAGAGTCATAGTTATTGTATGCAGAGTATTCCTTAAAATATTTATTGCAGTGTGTGTGTGTTACATATGGAGGTCAGAAAATGAGTGCAGAGAAGTTTTCCTCATTCCACCATGTGGATCTTAGGCTTGGATTCAGCCTTTTAGTTTAATTGTCAAGAGCTTCTAACTGGCGAGTCATCTTGCTGGCTCTCGAGAACTAGAGAAGCAATTGGACACCAGACAGGTATTAAATATGTCACTATAAAATTTTCAAGTATGTAATCTTCCCAAGTGTGAAAGGTGATGACTGGGAAAGAGGAAGTAATATTTGCCAATAAAACCTTGAGTGTGTTTAGACATTTAGATTGTTATGAATTTGACTTAATGATGTTGAGAGTAAAGAACTGTAACTAGGTTTAAAGTCTTAAGAGCAGCTGCCGGGACTAGAACAAGTAACAGAAGAGGAGTTCTGGCTATTTCACCATCTTCGCATGCTTAATGATCGAATGCTTAAAACATGCGTGGGGAAACAGAGTGACGGCAGGTCATACGCGAACAGATGTAGCTGAGAAAATATTAAAGGGCCTGGTTTCTGAAAACTGTAATCTAAAGATGTAAAAGTTTCATTGTGGTTTGAAATCATCTAACTTCTTATTTGATCTTAAATTAATAATTGCTTCTTTCCCATTGTGTTTTTCATAGATTTTTAAAGGCAGCCAGAGAAGTGTTTATGTCTACAGAGTCCTCACTACTTAAAGGGGGTCTTCTGACTTGAATCAGGTCTAACATAAGATGTATGTAACTTAAATTCAGTATTCTTTCTCATCATTTTTAACTTTAAAGTGTCCTAAAAGACTATCTTACATTGCTATCTAAATACAAACACTTCCCAGTTGTTTAGGAAAGCATTGGTGTAGAGCATAAAATATTGGGCTGTGTGTGTACCTTCAGTACGACTGAGCTGTGCCCTCCAGAGATCCTGAGTGGATAAAAAAGGCTGGAAATCAGACCGCCTGACTGATGTTAGGGCCTGTCATGGGCAAACAAGACGTGTGCCACTCATGCCCAGCAACTGAGGCTGGAGATCATGTATGATCTCTTCATCCCTTACACTTTTTAAAGATTCGACACACAGATATTAAGTAAGTGTTAATATCAGATATATTGAAATTTAGAGTTAACATTACTTTAGTACTTTGAAGTGTGTGTTTTCTAATAAACTTAATTTTTTTAAAACATTTCTTTCACAAATCTCAGATTTCCTTGGACTATTTTACCTAATGAGGTAAAAGCGTTTAACCCTCCCCCAAAGAATCTAATCATTAGAAACTTTATAAATATGTTTTAAAGTAAAAGAAAAATAAACATTTTAGTGGTAAGCTTTTAAATTTTAGTGTATGAGGTTATTTGAGGCATTAGAAGATTCAAGTAACCCACAAAGGAGTCTTGATTATGGCAAGGGTATGTTCATTCATGATCTACTGACCATATACAGACAGACAAGGATAGCTATAATCCTGAATTGTAAGGTCACTTAAACCATTATGAGTTTTTGAGTTTCTGATGTACCTTAACAACACAGTTCTCGAGTGTTAACTTTTTGGATTATATTATCATTTCTCAAGTTCAAAAGCCTGGACAGCTCTGCAGAGATAAAACGTTACTCAAAGTTTTCATTCTGCCAGTGCAAGAGGGCCAAGTTTTTTGGAAACTTGGGGCACCTCTTAGAACCGTTTTTTCTTGTTTCATAGATGATTGTACATTTCTTTCTTCCATTGTAGTTACAAATACTCTCCATTCTGCTGGTCCCCTGGACTAGTTTCTCTCTAGCCACAGGGTCCTGCTCACTAACTCCTGTAGGCCGCTTAAGAAATAACCACTTTTAAGACTTAATATTAATTATATACTCTTTGGCCTATTACCTCAGGCTTCTTATTAACTAACTCTTACATTTTAAATGAACACATTTCTATTATTTTATATTTTACCACGAGGCTCGTGGTTTGTTACCTCTTGCTTTTTGGGTGGCTACATGGCATTTGCCTGACTCTGCCTCTTTTCTCCCTGCATTCAGTTTAGTTTTCCTCTTAGCTATATTCTGCCCTGCCATAGGCCAAAGCCACTTCTTTATTAACCAATGGTAATTAAACATACTCACAGCATACAGATCGGTATCCCACATCATTCCATTCTGTGGCAATAGAGTGATTGGATTTCTTTCCTAAAATGAGAACATGTGTAGAAACAGTATCAAGCTGTAATAATAAATCTGGTATTAAATCTGATGCATATATGTTAGTGAAAATGAATCTAGATGGCAATAAAGTATGCAAACAACCTAACCAGGTAAAGGAAATACATGCGAGGTGGCTTCCCTTCACCTCTAACTTCAGTTCTGGGATATCTGATGACCTCTTCTGGCTTTTGTGAGCACTTCACATATGTGGTGCACATACCATACATACATACACTCAGACATACACATTTAAAGAAATATATAAGTAAACAAATCTTTAGAGAAAAAGAAGTCATTGGTATCCTGCAATTTTATGTTGTGTCTCCAGCTTTATGTTTTGCTCTTTATGATTCAGACATTGTTATTGCTTTGCCATCTTGAGGAAGATGACTAATCATTTGTTGACTTTACCCAGAGAAACAGAGAGAATAGCATGACTCACCATAATAATCTTTCATTTTTATGCATGCCATAAATTGGCTTCTGTGCACGACTTGATAAACATTTAATTGAAAAGAAGCATCACTAACTGCATTCAGTGAAGTGAAGTGCCCTCTGAATAAGACTGTTTATTAGTTAAATCACATTATCATCAGAGCTGTAAATCTGAATCATCTCATTCTAATGAGATTTACAGGCCTTTCTTTCATCCTTTGTATGGATAGAATCAATCCTTGTGTGGAAGTTAAACGTCCTGCATATGCACATGCCTAGAGAGGCACATCACACAAAGGTCCTAATGTGCAGAGGAAATTAGGACAACAGATTATTTTGATGAACCAGAAGCATTAACTCTGGGCATCTTTTCCTGTTCCCCTCTGGATGGTACTTACATAAGTTTAGGCTTTATGAAGTCATCCAGATAGGAAAGAAGGCTGAAACTGAAAAAAAAACAAAAACCAGTCCCTCATCAGCTTCATCCTCTCTCCGTTCTCAGGATTCTATTCTCTAGACATGCTCTGCTCATCACCTAAACTGAATCTGTCATTAGTCCTGTTCTGAACTTCTTTTCTCTCCCCATAGTATGGAATCAGTATCCAACTGATGTTCTAATCTCCAAACCCTTTGTTTCAAAACTTTATTTCAATGCGAGTTAGCCTGGATTCTTTCCTGTATCATGTCTATAAGTTTTATGGCCCTTATTATTTCTCCTTTGTTATATGGCTTTTATATGCAAGTTTATATGCTCTCTTTGACTTTAGGCTATTTGAGCTCAGAAACAAATTTTCTTAGGCCTTGACTCTTCTTACCTCCCAGTACAGAGCCATGAATACATTAGAGTTCTAGTACATATTTATTGAGGTCCTGGACACATAGCACTAAATAGTTTGGACAGTTAGGATATGGCCATTTCAGTATTTTTAGAAGAGATTTTTTTTTTTTTTATTTTGTAGATAGGGTTTTATAGAACTACCCATCCTCTTTTTTTTTTTTTTTTTTTTTTTTTTTTTTCCAAGACAGGGTTTCTCTGTGGTTTTGGAGCCTGTCCTGGAACTAGCTTTTGTAGACCAGGCTGGTCTCGAACCCACAGAGATCCGCCTGCTTCTGCCTCTCAAGTGCTGGGATTAAAGGCGTGCGCCACCACTGCCCAGCAGAACTACCCGTCCTTAAACTCACTGTGTAAACTGTTGATGACCTTGAACTTCTGATTTTCTTGCTTCCTGAGTGCGTGCAAAGCCACGTCTGTTAACTGTCCTGTTTGGGCTCAAATCCAGAGCTTTATGCATGGCAGGCAAGCGCCTTTTCAAAGAGATACATCTCTAATCTTAGACATTAACAATTTTTATTGATATGAAATACAGTAGTAGTGCATATGAATCTGTAGTTCAGCACTGCAGAATAAGTTGTGAGTATTTGATAAATAAAATTCTGAGTATTTGAGACACTCAGAAAACAGTGTGCTCTTAATAATTTACTTTTATGGTTAACTCAGAGTTAACAAAAATATCTTTGTATTTATTTCTTATGGAGATGTTTTTTGAAATATTCTTATTTCTTGTTTTAGACAAGAGTGTCCTTAAAGTTATATATATGAGAATATGAGAATATCACAATTCCTTTAGGTAATTATTACACACCTTAATTTTTGTGCTACATAATACTTCTTGCAAAAAGATAATTAAATTGTGGCTCAAGGGTTCTTTTCATTCTTCAGTATATTAAGCATGTTTAGTATTTTAAATCAGGACTAAATAGTTGGTAAATAGTTATGCATTGTGAAAAGTGCATTTCAAGAGATGCATATTTAAGTGATTGGTCATTGTGAAAACATCATATACAAACTAATATAGCTTTGGGTTTACTAAATGATAGTATTTTAAGGGATTGTGGTCAAATATGGCTTCTGTTCTGGACTAAATGTTGGTATGAAATACATCACTCTGTCAATTTTTGTAGCCATTTAACCATGCAAAGAACCAAAATATATGTTTTGTTTATTGAAAGGACTAGGTTCTTTTTTTTTGTTGTTATTGTTGAGGACTAGGTTCTTTACTTTTAATTAAATATTTTCCAATTTTCTTTCTTTCAGATGCAGGGACTTTGTAGGTTGCCCAGACTGACTTTGAATTCCTCTGTACTCCAGGCTCACACTGAAGTCGATTTCTGCCATCTTACCTGCCTTATTCAGTTTTATCTAATTTATATTTATTTTACTTGAAGTATATATATGTATACATTCTGCATGTTAATGTACATAATATTTGTTATTTATTTAGGCTTTGAAGCTTTCTCATCCTAAAGATTTTGATTTTGAAAGTTTTTCTGAAGGTCGGCCGGCCTCGTGACTCAGTCAGCACGCACGTGCTTAACATTTCTGAAGTTCTAGCATTGACCTGCAACGCTGCACAAACAAAGCAAAATAACAAAGACTTCCCTGAATTATGTGTGCAGTTTAGAATTTATAACTGCTTTAATTCTATGGTTACTCTTTGTTTCTATTTTTCAGAAGTTTTCTGAAGCTATGACAATATTAAGACAGCATTAAGAAACAAATAATCATGAACACCAAAGATTTTGTAGTTATTCCCTGGGGAAAACCTGGAAATTCTGTAAAACTAAAATATAAGTAAGTACAGACATATTTTTAAATTAAAATAGTTGCTAAAGTTTCTACATGTTATAAATTAAACTATTATTTTTTTAAACAGGAAAAAGGAAAAAGTCAAATTTCATAAATTCTTACTCCCGTTTTCCTTCATTGCTGTGTTTTGTAGTAAGACTTCAAATTTATAAGCTATGTTCATATTATTGAGCATAAATTTATTAACTATTATATTACCAACGTGAAAAGTTATTTTATCACTTTATATTTTTAGGACTAAAATTATTTTATTAGTAGTAATGGAAATGTGAAGTTATATATAAAAGTTGGATTCATTTACTATTAAAGCAGTATAAAAGGAGGCTGTATTTTTGTGACCTATACCCAGGGTTAAGAGTTCAAAAAGAAGCTAAAATTAACCAGTGAATTAGGGTCTGAGATCTTTGAGCTTGGACACTGCTCAAGACAACATCCCAGGCACGGAATGGAATAGATTTAGAAAAATTTACCCTCCAGGTAAAGCCAAGTACTTCCAATGTCATGGCCATCAATTCTGAGCATCCTCAGTATTTTGTAACTTCTCCTGGGTACTAAAGGGATGCACTCACAGTTTTCCTTGGAGATCGGCTACTGTCATTGGAGGTTTTCTCAACTACTACTAAGAGCCAGCCAGGAAGAGTTGGGAACGTGCTGCCCACTTAAAATTTTAGATTTTGACTTTCCTAGTTCAGATCAGTGGTCTTATAATTATTTGATGTCCTCAGAGCATTTCATGAATTACACTTTCTTCACCTGTAAGTCATCGGGTGTAAAAATATTATAGAAACTGGAAAATGTTAGGCAAACACATGTTCTCACCATATTTAGATTTACGGTTGTTTTGCTGGTTATGGAAGTTGTCAAATTGTGAGTGTTGCTCTTTTGATCTTTAGAAACAAAGAAATGGCTGAGAGTACTCTATTGGATGTTTATTCTCTGTCTACACCTGCAAACTATTCACTAACAAATGTCTATCAGTGGTATACGTACTCTGAGAGCAAGTGGTGGCTACAAGGGGAAGAAACAAGAATCTTACTCTTTAAGTAGCTTGCAGTGGATATGTGGTACAGTTAAATTGACAGTATAGTTTGGTATGTGGTATAGCATGGGCTACATGTAGGCCCAGGGGCTTGGGAGTATATTGTCTATGTGGGCAGAATTGAGCAGATGAGTCAAGTTCAATGGAAAGAATACAGGTTCTTTGGTAGTTGTTGGATGGAAATGTTGTATTATATAGCATAAACTTTGTTTTTAAGACATTATCAACTTGCCTAAGTTTATAATAATACATAGTCAGAGAGAAGGGACAAGCCTATATAATAACTAATGGGTATGCAATAATCTTAAAAGTGATGAGTAAAGGGGCTGGAGAGATGGCTCAGTGATTAAGAGCATTGCCTGCTCTTCCAAAGGTCCTGAGTTCAATTCCCGGCAACCATGTGATGGCTCACAGCCATCTGTAATGAGGTCTGGTGCCCTCTTCTGGCATGCAGGAATACACACAGACAGAATATGGTATGCATAATAAATAAATATTTTTAAAAAAGTGATGAGTAAAGACACTGCTTTATGCTCTTATATCTTATAGAACTGCAACTCACAAGAGTGTGAAGGAAGAAACACTATGCTTATGACCCTGTAGTTCTCTATTAATTCTTTCCTTGTTCCAAGCATCCTTCGTGTGGCACTCTTAATAGTGGTCCTTGTATTTCCTGACCCTCTGCTGTCGGCTTACCCACAATGTTCCCCAACATTCTCTTTTATCTTTGCTGTGTTCATATGGTCTTTTCATGGTATGCCATGGTGCCTCATAGTGGATTTGCCTACCCTTCTAGCCCAGGGTTTAAGGCTCTTTCCTGACTTTCTTTCTTTCTTTCTTTCTTTCTTTCTTTCTTTCTTTCTTTCTTTCTTTCTTTCTTTCTTTCTCTTTCTTTTTTCTTCCTTCCTTCTTTTTCTTTCTTTCTTTTTTTGTGATTCATATAAAACCAAGCATAAAATATGCCCATTTCTCAAAAATAGTCTTTTCATCTTCAGCTTTTTCCTCTTTATCTGCTACAGTGGGGTCTTTAGAAGCAGTGTGTCTTCTAAGAAAATTAAATGACAATAATGTTTGTCCTTTTCAATGCTTCTTTTGAAAGCAGTAGGTGAACTACTGTAGCTTTTGAATCATTATGTGGATCATCATGAGAATGTTTTGAGTCTCAGCTCTGTTCTCCTGCCCAGAGTGTTCTATCAAAAACATGAGTAGTTATTCTGGCTGTTTAAGTTACCGGTCTGGGGTTACTTTAGATTTGTGCTTTGTACCCTCTTTGGTTAGCCATCTACTTCCTATCAGCCTATAAATTTAGTTCATTTTTTTAATTAAATGCTCCAATTTTCCTCTACATTTTCTCTCCTTAGATCATCACAATCACTACAGTTAGGATTTTTGGTGCCATTTCTTATCTGCCTGTCTTTGCTTCTAAGCCTTTTTACTTCTAATTTGAATTTTCATGGTACAGGAGAGTGAACTTTATACACACAAGTCTGATCGAGTGCCTTTAAATCCTGAAGGGGGATCCTTATCGTTCACAGAACTCCCAGTCGCTGATCACACTCTCAGGGTTCTTTATGATCTGACCACCAGCCACCCAGCAGGCCCACTTCTTGATGTTTTCCCATCTTACACTTAGTGAGCTGAGGCATGGAACTTCTAGCTCCTTGATTCATGTTTTATCTTTTTCTTCTGTCCACACTTTTCTTTCTTCCTGGGCCACTGTTACTAGCACCTCCCTCTGAACAGGCAAATGCTCTAATCCTTTAGGTATTAGCTCAGAATTCATTTACTCCAAGAAATGTTCTTAGTCTGAAGTCAAGGGTGTATTCTCTGTCCACAGGCTCGAAGTCCAGCTGTCCCTTCCCTCAGTAATAGCACAGTGACTGTATGCCTTCACCTGTCCTTCTTGATTGTATTCATACTGAATTGGAGACTGCATCTGTCTTGCTGCCTTTCATTCCTCAGTTCTTGAGTGTAGTGGGCTAAGTCTAACCTTTTGGATGTAATTTAAGTAACAAGCCATTTTCTCTATACTTTAGTTACTTTGAGATATCACCATGAACTATTTTCACCTGTGAACCAAAGCTTGGTACATTTGCTTTTCAGTGAAGGTTTGTCACCTCTGTACAGTAAATCTCTTTTCTGTCTTCATTATTCCTTAGTTTGAGCCAGGCCATCATATTCACAATGATGTAGGGAAAGTTTTAAATTCACAATAGATACTGAAATCTAGACTCTTGAATTGGCTTCTAGCTGTAGAATGGTTAGGATCTAAGTCTGGTAGGAGGGTGGAGCTTCAGATACTAATACAAAAATCTCTTAGGGACATGGAAGTGATTCAGTGCAAACATGAAGATTTGAGTTCAGTATCAAGAAGTCACCTAATAAAAACTAGATATGCCGTCACATGCTTAGAATCCCAGTGCTGGACAAAGCAGAGGTGGGCAGATCTGTTTTTCTGGTTGGTTAGTTAAGCCTACTTAGTGAGTTCCAGCTCAGTGAGGGATCCTGTTTCAAAAAAGGAAGAAAGGCAATAAGTAAGTAAATAAATAAATATGAACAAAGGAAGATATGGGTGATACCTGAGGAGTGTTAGCCAGTTTATCCTCTGGTCATGGGCAGTCACATAGATGTACATGTACATACTTTTGCCTTCTACAAACAAATATGCACACACACAAGCACACACACACCGCACATGCGTGCGTGCGTGCGCGTGCACACACACACACATATGCATACGGTCTTTTGTAGATAATCTCCTGCAAAGTATTAATAGGAGCTTTCTTCCAAAGAGACACAAATTGTTCTGATGCTCAGCTTTTTATACCCACATTAGACATTTACTGCAGGTTTCACGCTGCTCTTCCAATAGAATGAGCTCATGTAGAAGGAAAACAATTGTTTTAGGTGGAGGGTATGACTAGGTGATAAAATGGTAACCTAGCAGGAATGCAGCTCCAGGTTAAATCTCTATGCATTAAATGGCGGTTTATGTACTAAGTTAGGAACTATGTGATATAGTAAAGTCAATTATAAAAGTATAATTTTCTTCTATTTGTCACAGATACTTGTTTATATTTATAACATGGCTCCTGTACAAAAGCAAATGATGTTTTTTCTGCTTTTAGAGTTGAAGAGACACATGACTTAAAAGAGACTATTAATAACAGGCAAATACTTTTTAAAAAGAGCATAGGAACAGATGAACTAAGTCATTCTGTAAGCCTTACTAATAGCTACAATTTAAGAGCAGAAGTCTCTATGAAATTTGCTCGCCTCGAGGCTTATTTGTTTGCTCTAAATGACTCTTCGGATCATCTGTCTTTAGAAATGCTCGGGAACTGCAAATGGAGAAAATTCAGCTAGAACTCGAGAACCAAACGATGGAAAAGAAATTCCGAGAATTCCAATCCACATGGAACAAAGGAAAGGAAGAAATGAAGTGAGTGAATGTTCAGAGAAGTTTTTTAAAAAAGCACAAAAAGCACAATACTCCCTAATGTTGTACTGGTTTAAACATTCTATTCATTTGACTGAATTATATAAAGATATTTTGTATAACTTTTGTTATTCTAGTAAAAACATTTGGTGGGCTGATGACTTTTAACTGTTCCCGAGGAAGAAGGGATATTAAATTCCCTTTACTTTTACACTACTTTTTAAAATTACCAGGACTTTGGTTTCCATTAGATTACTAGCTTTTTTTCTGTTCCTAATTGCCTAATATGATAAGGTCCACAAGATCGTGAGGCCTGGAATGCACAGGAAAGCAATGAAAACTTGATTCTTTGCTATGAAACAACTGCACTCAGGATACCAGAAAACCAAGCTGATGTTAAGGGTATTGTTTGTGAAGTGCAATTCTTCAGTGAGCAAGTGTGTCCTTGCACGACATCAGAACTATGTAAACCTGTAGGTATATTTAAAATATTTTAAGCAAACTATATAATTTTGTTTTGTTGATAAAATCTCCATAACATTACGCTTATGTATTGTCGTGTGTTAATTTACTTTTTTTTATTATAACACTAACACACATCAGACTTATTTGTGTCAAGAGGAACTGACAGATACATGATAAAAATGATTTTTTAAGTCTAAGCTCACAACCAGTCCATTTCCTTGCACCATTTAATGAATAAATTTTTTTTTCCCGCAAATGTCTCATCTTTGTATAAGTCTTTGTGGGAATACGTGAGTGTGTTTGGTATGTTTATAAATGGACTAATCTATAAGTTATGAAAATAATTCACATCATAATATTTTGGTCTGTGCTCTAGCCATACACTGAATTATCCCATTTGTTAGTGGCTTACCTTAGCAATATTTTACAAATATAAATGCCACCATTGACCTGTACATGTACTTTTGCTGTTATACATGGCATCTTTGAATAAATTCCTCTCTCTGTCATTTTGGGTTCAGAAGCATGTTTATTTTATATTGTGCTTAACATGGGTAAATTGCCCTATAAATGGTATGCAGAAGTTTACAGTCTCCTATAAAGCAGAAGACTACACATTTCATATGTGTTTGGTTATTTTAGGTATCACTATAATTTGTAAACTGGAGTTCATGGAATCTGCTCCCGGAAGGGACTTTTCTTTAACTGTGGAGCCTTTACTGGATGGTCTTTTAGAACATTCTTCAACTCAAATGGGTTTTAAGAGTAGAACTATTCTCTCCTAAGGTTTCACAGATAGTGTCACAGAGAAAATGAAGAGTTACCACCTGTTGCCTCCCAGGAAAAGGGAGACCCACAATTCCAGTTTGGGGTTTATTATTTAATGTCTATGTGACATTGGGCAGTTTTCCAATGAAATATGATACTTTAGTCTTGGCATCCTCAAAAATGCATTTCCCCCCAGTGGGCCTCAATGAACTCCACTTTGAAATCTGTAACATTAGAACTCGCCTTCTTTGTAATCTGTGTTATTTCCAACATAGGAGCACATTCCATCACTCGGCAGACCTGCTGTATTTTAGGGATATAGATTTGTTCTTCTTTTCATTTTCATTTGTAGATACCTGGTTTTGTAAACTTTATGGCCATCTGTAAATTTTTCTATAAATTAGTAAAAGTCAGTCACTGTAAATGCCAAGTAGTGGAATGCTTCTGTGTTTACATATTTCCCCTTTCAGTCATTGCTACACAGACATCACAGATATAGAGGAGTGACCCTTAAAGTGATATACTGGTGATAAACTAAGTCATTTCTGACATCCTATTCCCAACTTATAGTGGTTTATCAGGCTGACATCCAGATTTCTATTTCCTAAAATGGGGAAATATATATGTTTTCACTAAAAGGACTAATGTTTTCAATAATTACATTTTGTTTTTATGCCCATTGAAGGTCAAGTGGATATTACTGGAATTCTGGAAGTGTGGGCAAATTGGGTAACAAGTCACATCTAACGTCACAAAGTAAAGTGAATGCTAGTAAGGTAAGAAAGAAGCTATTTTTTTGAGCAAGAGGACATACATTATGTTGTTGGGTTTTGCATTCTCTCTCACACTCAAAGATCCTCCATCCTTGCTTTACTAACTTCTGTTTAGGTTCACAATCTTCAGGTTAATACTGGCTTCATTATTCAGATACGCTTTGTTTTCCATGCAGAAGTATTTTTTTAATTAAATATTTCAGAAGGTTCTTGAAAATTACTTACAGGGGAAATTTTGAATTCCAAATACAGTTTTTCTATTTATTTAGAGGACATTAAATACAATGACAGCTCTATATTAAGGTGAAGACTAATATTATATGATAGGATGGATTATGAGCTTCAGTTCTGACTTGATATTATTTTTTCATTTCCTTAATATTGTTGCATTCTGCTTGCATAATAATTATTCATATACTCTTAGCCGCATGAGTAAAGACGTCCAAGAAAAGATTTGCCATGGCAATTCCCAAGCTATGTATTCACTTTCTCATTACTGTGCCTCCCGAGTGCAATTGTAAATGATATCATGGCATCACATTTATGATTGCAAGTAGGTAGGTGTTTTTATATAAGGAAAATGTTTCCTCTGGATTTCTTTAGTACAACATTCGTGACTTCGTGAATTTTAACTTGCACAGCGTTTTATTTTTATATACCTATCATTAAACTTTCATTGGGTCATTTGGCACCAACAAATATCTTACTCGGCACTTCTGTACTTTTTGGCTTCAGAGAAAGCATTTCATTGTACACTGTCATCCCCTTTGTGATAAGGTTTCTTTTACTCTTGGGTTAAAAATTTATAAGCCATATTTAACTCGTCATTATCTTTCCACGGTGCTGTCCTGTGTTGCATTTCAGATGTTACTGTAAATATGTTAAACATTTTGGCCACGAACAATTGTGGTAGCATCCTCTTGTATTCCAAGAACACGAAGTTGAAGCAGCGGGGTTGCCAGAAAGTTGAGGCCAGTCTGAGTAATGGTCTAAGATTCTGAGTCAAAAAGAAAAGATCAAAACAAAACAAAAAGTGTTGGCTGTCATCGATCACCAAATCTGTGATCATGAACTTGGATGGAGGGGCATTTGTAAAGTGCAGTTTTGGATTTCCAGCGATTTACTCCTTGTTTTCAAGGATGTCCTTGTATAATATAGAAAAAATGAGTCACATCAAATATTTTTTAGAAAGAGCCAATAAAAAACATTTGCAGTCAACATTTTGGATATGAATAATGTGTACTTGAGAAATAACAGTTTGGTTAATGAGTTTATGTAAGGAAATGTTTGAAGAATAAGTCAAAATCTTTGCTTCCCTAAATAAGAAGGAGAACCCAAAGAAAATCATATAGGCATCCTCCTGAATATTAACCTTCATCAGGCGATGAAAGAAGACAGAGACAGAGACCCACATTGGAGCACCGAACTGAAATCTCAAGGTCCAAATCAGGAGCAGAAGGAGAGAGAGCACAAGCAAGGAACTCAGGACCGCGAGGGGTGCACCCATACACTGAGACAATGGGGATGTTCTATCGGGAACTCACCAAGGCCAGCTGGCCTGGGTCTGAAAAAGCCTGGGT